TTCGAAGCCAGGTTGCTGCTTTAGGGATAATTTCTGGCACTTTTGCAAGATGTTTTAGTGCCTCTGCATTTTCCCCAGTCTGGTATTTTGAAGCCCTTTTCTCACACAGGCAGTGTTTCTATGCAAGCATACAGGCAAAAAGCTGAGCCACAAGAGATCTTTTACTGTAAACTGCCAGTACTTTGGAGCACATGATTCACCCTGAATTATCAAATGGTTCCACTATACACAAAAAGTCTAAGGTCTGTCAAAACAAGTTGCCCTGAGACATTCCCTGATGCTTTGGGAAAGAAAAGGAGCATTGTTCCTTATTTAGCAGAATGCAGTCACTAGCCCTGTACAGATGGAAAAAAAGCTTTGTGAAGAGACTGAGCACACAGTATGAGTGAACAGTGCTTTTTGCAGGCAAGAACCTTTCATATGAAGAAAAGGGGAAGTGACATCCAGTGAGGTTGCCTGGTCCAGGATGGAGGGCACTAAAGGCACATTTAGAACACAGACTCTGTTCCTCACTCTGCCAATGACCTGCTGTGAATTTGGCAGCCCACTTTACCTCTGTGTGCCTCAGCTTCTAGCTATAAAGCAGCTGTACTAATTTTTATGTTCCTTGTAAAATGCTTTGCAAACAATAAATCTTTGACTGTTACTGTGCAAATGCACTGTAATACACCCTGCCAAAGGACAGCCACTGCTATGCAACCAAGAAATAGCCTGGCTTAGACATACAGTGAACCTCAAGCAGGGATTGAATCCTAACTGCTCAACCCCTAATCCTATATAACAGCAAATACATCCTTCCCTTGCTGATAGTCCTATTGCTGGCCAGGCACAAGGGCTTTGGGAAAAACTGTAAGAATTCCTGATAGAGCAAGCAATTGTCTGCTAAAGTACATCTCCATGTAATTCCAGGTGTGGGAAGCCCCAGCTGTGTTTTCTGATGTCTGTACTTGAGGCTTAGCAGAATTACAATACAGCAGCTGCCCAGTCTCTTGCAGACCAGGCAGGCAACCTGGCAAAGTTCAGGTGGTTCTTCAGATCCCAGCCTTTCTCACTCTGGCCAAGCCTTAAACAAGCATGCCTGACCATCCCATGGCTTTAACAGTGTAGTCCGTATGTAAAATACTAGCGGACTCATACCAAAACAAAGCTGATGTGAAATGAGACTCGGCTCTACTATGTGGAAAACAGCAGCATCTCTAAAGAGCTTCATATATTTAGTGAAACCCAGGCTCTGAGGGATTCGGTACTACGGGGGGCATTTAGTTATGGGCTGGTCCTAATGGGCTGAACTGGATGAGCGAGACAGGAGTCAAAACAGCTCTCTTCATAGTGAATCCTATTAGCTATAAATAGCACTCATTGCAAGGAGAGGGTGAGTGCAAGTTTCTTCTGCTAAGATTGCAGTAGCAGAGACATTTTTATCACAGATCATGCACATTACACCAAGGGGAACAGAACGGCTGCCAGAACAAGACAGTAGCAAGTCTATACTGTCAGAAAATTACTTCTACCAGAAAAGCAAACCAAAATCAAACCCAGGTCGTTTCCCACAGCAAGGATTCAGATCTCACAGATGGGATGCCATCTAATCACCTCAAGTCCACCAACAGATACAGCAAACCTTGAAGAGTGAGGGAGAGAGACTGTATATGTGGGAAATCCAGGAAATACCTACTGCAGAGGCCACTCAGCTAAGAAACTGCTACTCGAGGGAAAGTATTACGTGAAGCACTTGGTGAGGGGGCAGGCAATGAGCAACCTACTAGTGAGAGAACGCAGAGCCCTACCTGCACTGCACTGCTTCCTGCATGCATACCGCTGGGGATTAGCAGTTCTCACATAGCAAAATGTGTAGGTATTTCCCCATGTAGACAGAGCCTTATGTGGTAACCTTGCATTTCACTTTGCTGCTGTTGGGAGACCCTGATTTCAAAACAACCTCTGCAGGGCTCTTAAAAATTCCCTGCCATTTCACTCTCTGGAGAGGAACCAATCCCAGGCCTGTTTTTCAACGTAATCTCAGAGGGAAAAAATATCTATTTCAAATGACTCATTGCACACAAGCAACTACATAATTAAGATTGCCAGAGGAAATGATCTTCCAACTTGAAAAAGAGAAGGTATATTCTTGTTAAAATACAGACACATTAATGTCTTGGAGCTCTCAGGCCCATTTCTGACACATTTCGGTGTGCCCCATTTGTTTTAAAAAACTGACAGAAGTGTAAGCGCATATCTCAAATAAACTGCATTTCCTCAAGGAGGGAGAACAAGCTGAGGCCACATGGACAGAGTCACCACAGAGGAGACCGTGCCCTCTATGGTTTCCTTGCATTATAAACTACTGCTTTTAGCAGCCATACATTCCCATGGCACCGTCCAGCTGTGGGATTGAATTATTTAGCTGCCTCAGAGCAGGATAAGTCTCAATAAACAGCAGGCAAACACCTTCAAGGCAGGGTAGTCCGTTAATGAGAGAGGGACAGGAGCTGCGTGATGCCCACAGGGGAGTTCACTGCATTTCAACATTAAACAAAAGTCATCCTGCTTTAGATGTCTGCAGGTGACACCGTCCACAACATATTTTGGCCAGGGACTCTGAAAGGGAAGGGAAATACACTGGCCTGAACTTGCAATTTACACGGCCCCTTTAGCAATCTGTGATTATGTTCATCATGGAGAAAGCATCAATCTAACAGACGATCTGTGAAGCAGGACAGGCATTAGCTGCAGAGGGGACAACTATGCTGCATTCTCCATCCCCGTTCATGAGATAATAAGGCTGATGGGGTGGCTCTCAGCCAGCAGGATGGACAGAGAGGAAAAAGAATGCAAAGGAACAAAAGAAACTTGCCTGTAGCATCTTGGCTGTGTTGGGTAACTTTCCAGGCATGGATTATTGACCAAAGGTGCAAGATGGAGACACACAATCAATATCCCTAGAGAAACTGGAACTATACCTGGCCTCTAGGTCCCAAGCATGTGTAGGGTTGCATGTGAGCTCTGCACATACACCTAGGAGCTTGGTAGCAACCTACTTACTTTTGTATGTTAATGCACAGATTTGGAAAGTACGTCCTTGTATTTCAAGGTATCTAGTGACCAAAAGAGCCACCTGGCCAGAAAAGATGGTCTATCAAAAGAACAGACACTGAATCAGCATGGCAATTCCTGCAATACCCCAATTCACTGCTTGTGTTAAATTAAGTCTGACTTTTTATCTTTAATCTATTTTTATACTCCAACATTAGGTTAGTAGCTACTCACTTCCAGCCTTCTAACATCAGAGTGCTGTGTTGGGACCAGACACTTTGGGACACTCACATACAGGGACTTCTATAAATAAGCACCTAAGGTACAAAGAGATAGGGGAAGCAGTACAGTTGGTGGATCCAAACAGAAGGCATGGAATTACAGGGTTTCTTGCTCATTTCCAACTGTGTCTGTGATGTGATGCATGTCCTTGGCAAGTCACTTAACCTCTCTGTACCACAGGTTCTGCACTTGCAAAATTGATTTTAATTTTACTTCTGTTATAATGTGAAGTGTGTGACGTGGCGGAGAGATCCCAAGTGGGAGACATGAGAGTGAATCTGGTTTTATGGTGGGAGAGGGACTTTTTTCCCACAGCTGAGCAGTCTGTGGGTAAAACCAGACAGTCAGGGTGGGGCTAGCACTGAATGTAAAACTGTTCTTTGCTCCCATTATTAATTATATTATTAATATACAGGTTACTATTAGCTTATGCCAGAGAAGGATCTGTTGCCTTCGAGCACAGGAAATGTAAGCTTGAGCTAAAGCAATACCTTTGCTAGCTGAAAATGAGACTGAGACACTCCATGGAGAAGGGGATGGAATATTTACACAGTTATGCAGAGCAATCAGAGGAGACCTGTGGCTGGCATGAAGCTGTGAGGCTCAAGTTTCATACCCAGTTTGTTTCTCCCGTGATGACTGGTGCTGTTAAGCCCAGGAGGGATGTTAATTTTCTGTGAAGAATGGAGTATGGGGGCAGAATAGTGAGGTGGGGGCTGAGCTTTGCAATGATGTTTGTTACACAAACAAAAATAAGCTATGTACACTAAGAAAGAATAAAACACACCAAGAGACTATCCCTGCCACCGGGTGAGAAAGCAAATAGCAGCCACTGTTTGGTTTCAGCACAAGCCCCCCCAGTTTTCCTTCCTTTTCAGCTTACAGACAGGAAATCATGCTCCAGCATGGTCTGCATGATGCACAGCCTGGCAGTGGCTGCCCTGGCATTTTGTACTGAGTCCACAGAGAGTCCAACGGAACTAATTTTTTGTGCACCCTAAAGAGGGAAGCCGACAGCAATCTGTACTCCCCATGCAGTTACAGGATTCCCATCTCTGGAATTTCTTGGTACTTCTCACTCCTTATTTGATGATTTATTAGTCTCCCTAACAGGAGAATAAGCAAATAAAGAACACTTTTAAAATTATATTTTCCTGAGCAAAATGAATTTCAGTTCCCTAGAGATCCAACCTTCAGAACAAGATGGGGAAAAAAACAGCCAGCCTGCTCTTTGTCAGCCTCTCCCAAGAAATGTGTGTTCACAAAGCTGATTTACAGGCTTTCCAGCAGCCTTTAGACCTAGAGACTTCATATACTCAGGAAAGGAGTCAATTCTATAAAATAAACTGTGCTCCATAACCTTGCTGCAGTTTATATTATTTGCTGGTACAACAGTAAAGCGCTGCAAAGAGAATAAAAACTCCAAGCTAAAAACACCAGCTGTAAAACAGCCACAAACTCTTCAAAAAAATATTGCTGATTTGCAGACCCCTGGCTGAGCTGCCCAGTATGCCCTTCTGTTAGTAAACAGCTCTCCCGCCCTGAGATCTTGCTCATTTTTCGCCTTCTCTGTTACTCAAAGCACTCAAAATATTGGGAGACATAACAATTCCTGAGAGATGCTGCACAAAAGCATGCTGCCTTGCCTGGGAAAGGTCTGTGTGAGACTTGGGACATGCATTTACCTCCGTGAAGCCCTCCTGAAGAATATCCAGTAAGTTCCCCCTGGCCAAACAAGCGAGCATTCTCCACAAGCCCACCGATGGGCGAGGGTCTCAGAGGACACAGGGCAGATCCTCCAGCTCTCCGCACGACCTCTTCCTCCTTCTCCCAAAGACAAAGAGTTGGAGCTCATCAGGAACCGCATTCATAGTCCCATATGTGCCGCCCGTTACTGCACACAGATAGTTGAGCCGAAGTCAAGGCTTGCACTGGGCATGCTCGAGATGGAGCTGCTGGGGGAGTGGTGGGAGAGATGTCATACGGTTCCTATAGAAACGCTTCAGCTTACAAGATGCAGGCCCAGGACTGAGTTGGGGAAACATCTGAAACCCATTTCCAGCAGTCGTACTCACACAAAACCTGCTGCGTAAAAGAGATTTTCAAACCCACCAAACACAGCAAGCCCTGTATGGCGTGGGGGCAGGGAGAGAGTCAAAGAACAGCAAATAGCAGATGGCTTGCTCAGCTAGAAAAGCAAAAGCAAAGACTGTGGGAGCTGCCAGCTTTAACTCTCAGCAATCGTTCTGCGGCCCCGAAGAAACAGCAGCGCTGTCAGCAACCCGGTAGAGACAGGAAGCTGCAAACCAGGCCACAACATAGCTAGTAACATTTGCACAGTACTCGGCCCTGCTCTAGCTGCCCTGGCAATGAAGTCAAAAGAAGAAAAAAGACAGAAAACTTTCAAACTGGAATTAAATACGATCCCCAGCAAATTTTCTAAATCAATAACAACTGCATTCATTCCAAAAACAAGTATCAAATATCTCCAGCCAATCTCTCAAACTTCATCTCACCTTACAGGAAATGCCCAGAAAAAAAAAAGAAAAACCTCTCAGAATGAGTGAAGACACCTTCTGCCAGGGGCTCTGGCTGCCAGTCCATAGAGCAACACTGCAAGTACTGCCCAGTGATATCAGACCTGTGCCTTCAGACTTCAAAATATCTGGCCAAGCATTTCTAAGTGACAGACACATTTAAAAACAAACATGTTTTTCTGCCTAAGTATTGAAGCATCTGGAGGAAAAAGCAATTGCATAATTTTACCATTTTACCTGTCACATATGGAGATGCAGCTAAAATACAGAAAGACAAGCAACAGGTAATTTCCCTCTGTAACCAACCCAAGTCTTTCAGAAAGGAGTCAGCCCCCACGCCTCCATGACGTAAGCTTTAAATTATTTATTCATGTTTGCCTTCCCTACTTTTCATAATTCAGTGGGAATTGAAATTTTATATTTTCATTGATTGTAATATCACATCTGTTAAGCAAAACTACATATTACTGCGAGGCTTTGCATAAAATCTTGCAAGCTGGCAATACTGGTGGTTAGTACCTTGATCCAGTTTACTTTTGAGACTCAAAATGCCATTAGATAGACAGCAATAAATATTTATCCCCATTTTTTGTGATGCAATCAAGTAGCTTATGCTACTTGCAATTTCAGTAAAATTTCATAGAAAAACTAAGTGGTTTCCCCATCAGACAGAAAGTCACCTAGTTTAAAAAAACCAACTAAAACCCAACAACCACAGAACACACTCTGAACCTTTTCTGTGGACTTTATAATGCTATTCTTGACTAATAATCTCAAAGAAAAAGTTGTATTTATTATCTGTTTTTCAGTGCTACATAGTAAACATACATTCACAGAAGACTTCTAGTATTAACAGGTAAGGATGCTGAGGTCATCCCTTCCCTATACCACTTCAATTTCTGGAACAAAAAAGCTTAACTCCAGATGTACTGATGTAAAATCAAGTGCACTCTGAATGCAGAGAGAGGTTGCAGATGGCTGTTAGGTGTTCTCTGATTGTTTTTATAATTTGTTTTATGGAGTTGATAGCAGATTAAATATTTTATGCTCATAATCCCCACAAGCTCTAGATATTTACCCTTGTCCTTTGAGGAGCAGAGAAGCCAAAGGCAGGCAGTCCCTAGCCACAGACTTTACACTGGAGACATAACCCACATTTACAGGATTAAAAAAATAAATAAAAATAAGAATAAAGACATAATCTGTCCAAATAGCATAGAAATGCGAAGCACAAACAGGATTTAAACATAAAATGTACTGTTTAAATCATGATAAGATGATACATTGAGAACACCAGTTTGTTTACCATGGTCCATCTCAGTGGCATTTAGTAGATGTCCTGTTGCATTACTGCTAGGCAACAATGAAGCACTTTTAACACTTGTGCTCCACCCTGAAAGAACTACAACACATTTGGGCAACAGCAGGATATAGAGACTGCCATTACTGCAACCTGCATTTGTCCATATAGCTTGTATGTTTAGTCTTGGCAGGCATCTCTAGTTTGTCGGGGATGCAGACTGGCTTTGTTCAGAAGTAGGACACGGCTATTTGATCATCTAAACTCAAACCAATTCCAAGATCCCTGTACAAGCTCGCTGTGGCACCACCCTCAATTACAGCTTAGCTGTCATATGAGATATATCCTTCAATCACAGTGTGCTCCCCATGCCATTGCATAGCAGGACACATTACACAGTGTGATGGTACTGGTGAGGGGGCTGTCAGCCACATGGATTGAGCAGCTGGCTTTGCATATAAACCGCACAAAGAGCCCTGGACTTCCTTTCAGAAACATAGTGATGGATCTACATATGTATAACTGATAAAATAGTAAAATGTGGTCTAGAAAAGGGCAATTTCTCCTAGGCCAACCAAATACAGAAAATGACAAAAAAAAACCCCAAGTAGTTATTAGTACCGAGAAGCATTTCTCTCACCCCTACTCCCTATACCCCTATTTCCTGGCACAAATCAGAGGACCTAAAGCCAGATAGTACAGTAGTGCCATCCCTGAGAAATGCAGAAGTACTATCCAGCTGAACATATTGGGGGGACTGTGAAGAAGTTGGTTTGGATCGGAGAGACTATTCAAGCCAGAAGCCCTACCCTGCCTGCCTTTTTGGATCAACCAAGAAAAGCTGGGACTCAAGTCTGAAATTCAGGTGGTCCCATATCCCTGTTACAGAGCTTCTACCTGCTAGAACACCAACACAGCGAAAGGCAAAGTGTTCTCATTATACGTGCCAGGTTCAGGTACAGGCCTGCTCACGGTATGTTCTCCATCAGAGATTTTGTCATCAAAGATTTGCTTCTACATGGGGTTTCTTATCTTTGAAACAGAACTGCCTCACTTTGACAATACAAATGTCAGAGAATAGAAACTAGGCCATTTCTGATGGCTAGACTGAGAGGCAGAGCATGCTGAGCCATTCTTCTGTTTATTGTGGTAACAAATGCATCTTGGGTGTATGTGTGTGCTGGAAATACCTTTTAAAAATTAAACAGTAGTTCTTCCATCTTTGTGTTTCACTCTTAAATTTTAAGCTAGCAGGAATCATATTTTTCTTTCAGTTTTATCACATCGTAATAGATGCTTTTGAATGTTATCTTTGCAGGAAGCAAACGAAACAGCCTCTCACTGAAACGAATGCTTCATAGTTCTCCCTGAGGATGATTCCAAAATGAAGGGCAGGGGGCAATGATATCAAAAGGATCTCCTCACCAACTGTTCTGGTGCGAGTGACCTTCAAAACAAACAAGTAGGGTGGCAGTTTGGTTGGTGGCATTGCCCTCTCCTGGCCAGTTTCAGCATAACCCTAACCCTTGTACTTGCCCCTGTTGAATTCCGGGCAAGGTGCATGACAAAGCCCTGTTACTGCTCCATTTCCTGCTGTTGTGATGAGACTGTCGTCGTGTCACAGCAGCACCACCAGTATCAACACATAAGCCTTCCTTCAAGCCTTCCATCCAAGGACTTTAAGGCACTTTATCAACATTCTCTGATTGTTTCGCATACAAGCTCTTGAGAAAGAAAGCTCAGTGGCCACAGTTCAGCTCTTGCCAATAAAATTTTGGTTGGGGACATAAAAGCAGCGAGGCTGATTCAGAAACAAAGGCTGTGAGGCTTGTGAGGCCATGACTGCAGTAATAGCAAAAAGAGCTGCCTAATGCAACTAATGCCTTTGTGTCACTGAGCGTCCCCTCCCAACCTCCCCATCAAGTATCCAAAACAGAGGTCAGACACAAAAAAGACTCCTGGAAACTCACGGAGGATGCGGCAGGCTGTGATGTGTGTCGGGGCACCATGTCCACCAGAGTTCCCATGCCGGATGGCACAGCTCAGCTCAGTGCCAAGGGGAATGTACCAGCACTCCTTCCCCCTTGAAGCCTGAGGGGGAGAAGCAAATGTATTAAACACAAAGGAAAGAATTTTCTTAGAGGGAGAACAGACTTACCAACGAAATGTTTGAATATAACCAAAACAAAGGAGGAAAGTTGCCACCTTCTTTCATTGCCTGCAGAAAATATATTTAAGGGCTACAGTCTTAGGGAAATTTACATATTTTTGTATTTTCTTCCACATGTAAAGTATGTATGGTGGACAGAATTCCCCTGAAACACATGTGAAAAAGATTCCCGATTACATTGGCTTACACTGCACATAGGATCGAATTCTCTCTTCCCGTTTGTGGAGGGGGAATCCAAATTCAACAGAAGTCAAATATGCCAGCCAAAGCTGTACTGGTCCCTAGTGTCAAGTATTCAGGGTATTACTTAATTCAGTGCATTTAGCCCAGACAGCAAAGATTCATAAATAATTTCAGGAAACAATTCCGCCTACTGACATTTATATTTAGGAATTTTCTGATAATCTGTATTTTCTTTGCTTAGTCTTCCTTTAGAAGTCCAGAGTGAAGTCTGGTGAAAGGAAAGGTGGGAGAGTTTGGAAGAGTTAACAGAATGGAGAATGGTAAGATTCCTTGAGAAAGACTGAATGACAGTAGGAATCCCTGTTTTTAAGAGTCATTTAAAGGTGGGCAGGAGTGTAACCCTTAGGCAGATGGTCACTATTATCTTGGTTGTGTCATCCTGGTACATCTCTAGGGACCAAAGGTCAGGGGTAGAACAGGGCGGGTAACACAGGCAGAGCCAAGGGGGTTGCTGAATCTGTTCGGGGTGGAAGGACTTTGGGGCCCATTCTGCAA